GACTGGTCCTTGGAGAAGGACATCACCCTTGGGAGGGTGGAGGGACAGCGCAGGAGGGGAAAGACCCTCTATGAGGTGGATTGATTCAGTGACTGGAATAATCGGGACGGGAGTGTCAGAGACAGTGCGATTGGCACAGGACAGAGCAGAGTTTAGGGTTGTTGCACATAGGGTCGCTATGAATCACAAGTTACTCGATGGCACACAACAACAACAACAACAACAAATTTTACAAACTTTCTGTCAATTCTATAAATACGCAGAAACATGAGGCAGTGGAAGCAGAAAATCAAAGGGGCTTCAGTAAGAGTCAGCTCAATTAAAAACTGAGAGGTTCAGAGTGAGAAAAAATGAGGGAGCTGGATGGACTCATAAAACTTTTGCCACAACATTGTGTTTTACAGAGGAACGTGAAGTTGAACTAAACAGTTGGTCTGCTGGAAGTTTTGCATATTTACATACTGTGCTTTCTTCTCATCTATGTCATCATATGAAGGTCTAAAGCCTTCAAAGCCCTCATGTGATGTGTACAGATAAAGCATTCTAGAAGTGGAGCCTCAGCTGCACGTCAAAGTCTGGACACAAATCTAGAATCCTTGTTGAATTTTGAAATGGCCTTTTCAAACAGAACGTCCTCTCTTCAACGTTGACCTGACTGGCAAGCTTACTCTGATCTCTAAGGTCTGGCCATGCAGGATCCGGCTCTTCTCAGAGTCTCTCCAGTGTGGTCATGCACGTGCAAGATGTGATCTTGTTTCACCAAGGGATCATGATGCAACTTTTATAATGGGTTGCCAGGGACAAAAGAAAAAATGCAGAGGAAACAATTCTGCCAGTCAATTACCTGTCCTGTGACCACCTGTAACAGTCCACTCTCACAGCCAATCTTAGAACAGCTTCCATGCAAGCAGCTCATTCCTGCTGCTGTTGTTGTTTGTTCTGTTCTGTCAGAATTGACCCATAGCTGACCTTCCAGTGGGTTTTCAGAGACAGTACATCATATGGAAGGAGACAGATCATCCTTTTCCTGCAGACCAGATGGTGGATTCGAACTGCATGCCTTTGGGGACTCTGAAAGTTGTTTCACAGCCGATTATGATTGTGTGATTTTTAGTTTCTGCTCTAACCGTCCAAAGATGTCTTCTTTCACACTGTCCTATAATTTGCTCTATGAGTTTAAATGGCTTCCTGGTCTAGGTCATCTCCGGACTTTAAACATATCTTGGGAATTTACTTTTCCAGAGTATGTGTTTTTCTTCTAGGCTAGCACTCTATTCAGTATATTCGCCCCATTTAGCAAGTCATCTATATGTAGGTGGTTCTCAGATTACTAATGACTTCTGTCCATGATGGTCTTTACATAAAATTTGTACCAAAATCACACAGTTGGTATGGTTCAGATACAGCATCAGTCAAAAACTTATATCTGAATACAGTGTACAGCATACCTTCTACACATAAAATAATTAAAGTAACACTTCGAGATACATGAAAACACTTTTTTAACATAACATAGTTATTATAATGATAATGGTGGTGATGATGATGATAATAATGTAGTTCTGATGTGCTAATGCACCTACCTGTTATAAGGAACCATTACATTGAACTTCCTCAAGGGTAACAAATATATTTGTTTCCATTCCAAAAAAGGTGACCTAACAGAATATGGAAATTTTGAACAATATCACTAATATCAGGTATGGAGACAGGACACATGTCCTGTCTCCATACCTTTTCAACCTGTATGCAGAGCAGATTATCCGAGAGGCAGGGCTCTATGAGGAGAAGCGTGGCGTTAGGATTGGTGGACGATCTATCAACAATCTGCGTTATGCAGATAACACAACCCTGCTCGCTGAAACTGAGGAGGACCTCATACACTTACTGCAGAGGGTCAAGGACTGCAGCCTTCAATATGGACTGAGGCTCAATGTCAAGAAGACAAAAATTCTCACCATTGGACCAATCGGTAGCATCAGGACGGTTGGTGAAGAGATTGAGATTATTCACAGCTTCAGTTTGCTCGGCTCCACGGTAAACACTCTTGACACCAGTAGCCAGAAAATAAAAAAAAAACGTATTGCGATGGGAAAGCCTGTGGTTAGGGACCTCTCTAAAGTACTCAAGAGCAGCGGTGTCTCTCTGGTGACTAAGGTGCGCCTGATACAGGCCATGGCTTTTGCAATCACGTGTTATGCATTAGAGAGTTGGACAATGACTGGGGAGGATAGAAGGAGGATTGACACCTTTGAGCTGTGATGCTGGAGAAGAGCATTGAATGTACCATGGACTGCCAAGAAAACAAATAGATTCATCCTAGAGAGGGTTAAACCAGGCTGCTCCTTGGAGGCAAGGATTCTGGGGCTTCGCCTGACATACTTTGGACATGTTGTAAGGAGAGACAGGTCTTTGGAGAGGGACATCATGCTTGGGAGGGTGGAGGGACAGCGCAGGAGAGGAAGACCCTCTATGAGGTGGATTGATTCAGTGACTGGGGTAATCGGGATGAATGTGTCAGAGGCAGTGAGATTGGCACAGGATAGAGCAGGGTTTAGGGCTGTTGTACATAGGGTCGCTATGAGTCACAAGCGACTCGACGGCACATAACAACAACAACAACAACAACAACAACAATCACTAATATCACATGCCAACAAGATCCTGCTGAAGATTCTAAAAAATTATTGGAATAGTACATCAGAAAAGAACTACCAAGTGTGCAAGCTGTGCTTTGAGGAGGCCATGACACTAGGGACATCATAGCCAATGATAGATGGGCCTTGGCCAAAAACAAAGAGTACCAGAGGCATTTCTCTCTGCTTTCATTGACTATGCAAAGACATTTGACTGTGTGGGTTACAAAAAAATGTGGCTAACTTTGAGAAGAATGGGAATCCAAGAACACTTAATTGTGTTTATGTGAAACCTTCTTGAAACAGGAAGCAGTAGTCAGAATAGAGTTACAGAATAGGAATACATCCTATCTTCATAACTTTTAAATCTATATGGAGAAGGCATCTATCAGGAGGTATAACTTTATGAGGAGGAATATGGCATCAGGACTGGAGGAAGACTCATCAACAACCTATGCTATACAGTTGACACAGCCTTCCCTGCTGACACTGAGGAGGACATGAGGTGTTTGATACAGAAGGTTAAAGACTATAGTATTCAATGGGGACTAAACTCAACATCAAGAAAACAAAGATTCTCACCACTGGGCCAACTGGAAACTTCATGATATTCAAGAGCTTCAAGATATTGAAATTATTAACGACTTCAACTTGCTTGGCTCCACAATTGACACTTTTGGCACCAGCAGTTAGAAAATCAAAGGTAGAATTGCATTAGGAAAGCCTGCTGTCACGGACCTCTCTAGAGAACTAAAGAGAATTGATATCAGTCTGGAGACTAAGATGCAAGTGATACAGGCCATGGTCTTAACAATTATTTGCTATGCATCAGAGAGATAGACAATAATTAGGGATGGTAGAAGAACTGATGCCTTTGAGTTATGGTGCTGGAGAAGAGTGTTGAACATACCGTGAAATTCCAGGAGAACAAACATGTCTGCCTTGGAGGAGGTGAAACCAAGGTGCTCTCTGGAGGCAAGGATTTTTGAAGTTCTCACATACTTTGGGCATGTGGCCAAGGGGGACCAGTCCTTGGAGAGGAATATCATGCTTGGAAGGGTGGGGTGACAGCACAGGAGAGGAAGACCCAGGATGAGATGGATTGACTCTTTGAGTGGAGAAATGGGATTAGGTCTGTTGGAGACGATGAGACTGGTTCAGGATAGGGCAGAATTCAGAGCTATTGTCACTATAAGTGGTAGTCGACTCAATGGCAATGGCACATAACAAAAATAATATAATTTAAGTATGATGTTCATAACTTGGAGCCTGTCTGATTTTTTAAAGTTGACAGAATGAGAACGGATACTTATGAAAGAGAAAATATTTCCATGGAATGAGTGGGATGAAATCCTTAGACATAGAGACTGAACCACTCACTGAGAAGTCTATATTTAAAAAAGGTGTTTCTTTAGTAGCTTGAGACCTAGCAGGTCCATGCCATGTAACTGAACGCACTGCTGTTGGTTGTCTTCAAACCAATTTCAACTCATGGCATCCCTATGGGTGCTGAGTTAAACTGCTGCACGGAGTTTTCAAAGCCATGACCTTCAGAAGCAGTTTGTCAGGCCTGATTTCTTAAGCCTCCTTGGGTGACTCTCAACCACCAACTTCTTGCTACACAGAGAGTTCCACGGAAAGGATAGAAAAGATCATATCCAGCCAGGTGAAAATAAATAAAACAGCATTTGTGACTGTTTTCTACTTTAGAATATCTTAAATAGGTAAGGCTAGTGATTAACATTTTCTAAAACATCAAATAGCTGTACATGGTATTTTTCTTGTCTTTTTAAAAAAATTTTTATTTTATTATTTTTTGTGTGTGTACCGTCAACTCAGATCTGACTGGTGCAGGAGGAGATTGACCCTCCTTTTCCAGCAGAGCATCTGGTGGATTCGAACCGTGTACCTCTGGGATTACAGTGCAGCTTCTTGCCACTAGGCCACCCAAGCTCGCTAGTATTTTTATTTTCAAGTGAATGAACTTGATCTTTTTTTTTTTTTAAATACGTGTACCTCCTAATAATCAATATTGAGGTTAGGAACTGAAATGGGGATTGTGAAGTTCCCAGGATACAGAAGCAGAAAGTGCACTCAAGACTAAGTCAGGCCATGGCTAATACATCAAACCAAAATCCCACAGGTGGCTAATATCTTTTGAAAAGTGCAAAGGGCGTTGCTCTGGGCTTCTAGATCTGAACAAATATTTCCATAACATATCACTTTATTTAGGATTTACTTTCTATTTTCCAACCAAGAAGACTGTGCAAAATTGCTAAGGTAATCTTTTATGCCTTTAAATTACTATCAAAGTCAGCACCTAGATGGCCTGAACCCGACACAATACCAGCCAACTGCAGTTACCTTGGATACCAGGCTGGCTCTGTATGCCGCAAGCTGCTTCAGGTACTCCTTCTTTGCAGCCTCGGTTTTCTTTTTATAGACCTGTGACGAAAACAAAGAGTTTTAAATTAGAAAGTGTGTCTGCTTTTGTTTTCAGAGAGCTGCAATGCCGAATGTAACAGCACACACATACACACATAGACACCACACATCCCCATATGATGCATCTCCCTCCAAAGAGACAGCTTTCTTACAGTCCAATGGAAATGGCATTTCTCTAAAACAGGTTTTTAAAAGCATGCCAAGAGAGTGGATAAGACGAATGGTAAATTTTTACATTTTATAGAAAGCATATAAGAAGATTTATGTGGGTTACTCTGAGTGTGGAAGTGGTTGGCTTAGAAATACAGGCTTGAGGAAGGTTTCCAGGTAATCTACATATGAAAGAAGTTATTCACATGCATATAATGGGCAGATAGACTGCCTTCAACTCCTGTTATACAGGTTCCATATCTTCCCCTAACATCAGGGACAAAATGAAAAGAAATTATGTTCAACAAATAAATCAAGGGATAGTCATGAGTCTGTAGGCTCATAACCTTTTAAAAATGTTGAACTTTGAAGTTCTGTCTCTCCTAAGCCTCAGGAATCAGGGACCCTGCTAGGAGCAGATGAAGAACCATGAGTGGCCAGGGTGGCACATACTTAGTGAGCCAGCTCTGGTCCTGTCCTTCCAGTGAAAACAAGGGAACACGTGAACACCACATTTTGAAAACGCAAAAATACCCTAACATGGATTTTAGTTTACAAGAATTTTCCTGCTTGAGAAGGAATCATCCTAAAAATAAAAGTAAACTCATACTAAACTGAGCAGAAGTACTAAAAATGACTTGTGAAGATGCGGTGGCCGCACCACTAATGCAAACCCGGCAGCGTCTTGAGCATCACAAGCGGGGACTCTGCAAAGTGAGCACGTGCGGCCTCCATGACCACAGAGCGCTTTCTTGCAAGGCTCTGGAGTATATTGTTGCAGATATTTTTACATCAGTCCTGGAAAACAAAATATTCTACACCGTTTCCTGGCTAAATCAAAATGGAATTCCATTCACACAAACTATTTTGAATTGTCCATTTTCTTTTTTTTTTGCAGCAAACAATGGTTAGCTAACAGTTTGTAATGCAGACCTAAAACCCCTCAAAAACCAAATAACAGAACAATTAATATATATGAACTATGTAAGTAAATCAGTATTTAAAAAAAAATCCAACCAAGTGACCAAACAAAAAACCCCAAACTCAGACACAGATCAGTCCTGAGCTGTGGCTCTAGGCTTCATCAGAGCATGTAAACATCCACAATGTTTGGAGACAGAATGGCTGTCCAGATGGGCAACAGAGGCCAACTGCCGGCTTCTAAGGCTGGTGGTGGACCCCAATGTGAAATGCAAAGTGTGAAAATTATTATTTACTCATGAATATTGTAATTAGAGAAGAACTCTTTACTTAAGATAAACAAATGACTAACCTTGTCAACTGAAATATAACAGAACTCTATGAAATGAATGTACTAATTATTCTTCATGAGTTGTAAATGACTCAAGGTAATGGTTTGACTTTTTTAGTAGAAATATGTGCCATCGAGTCACCTGCAGCTCATAGCTATCCTATGTACATAGCCTTAAACCCTGCTTTATCCTGTGCCAACCTCACTGTCTGTGACACACTCACCCTGATTACCCCAGTCACTGAATCAATACATCTCATAGAGGGTCTTTCTCTCCTGAACTGTCCCTCCAGACTCCCAAGCATGACGTCCTTCTCCAAGGTCTGGTCCTTCCTTGCAACATGTCCAAAGTATGTCAGAATAAGCTTTAGAATCCTTGACTCCAAGGAGCAGCCAGATTTAACCCTCTCTAGGACAAACCCAGCTCAAAGGTATCAATTCTCCTTCTATCCTCCCTAGTCATTTTCCAGCTCTCTGATGCACAGCAAGTGAGTGCAAAGACCATGGCCAATATCAGGCACACCTTAGTCTCCAGAGAGACACCATTGCTCTTCAGTACTTTGGAGAGGTCCCTAACAGCAGACTTTCCCATTGCAATGCATCTTGTAAGTTCCTGGCCACTGGTGCCAAGAGTGTTGACTGTGGAGCCAAGCAAACTAAAGCTGTTAACAATCTCAATCTCTTCACCATCCATCCTGATGTTGCCAATTGGCCCAGTGGTGAGAAATGTTGTCTTCTTGATATTGAGTCTCAATTGATAGTGAAGGCTACAGTACTTGACCTTCTGCAGCAAGCTCTTCAGGTCCTCTTCAGTTTCAGCAAGCAAGGTTGTGTCATCTGCATAATGCAGATTGTTGATGAATCTTACTCCAATCCTGATGCCACACTTCTCCTCTTACAGTCCAGCCTCCAGGATAATCTCTTCTGCATACAGGTTGAAAAGAAATGGAGATAGGACACATCCCTGGCATACACACTTCCCAATTTTGAACCATACAGTGTTTCCTTGCTCTGTTCTGATGACTGCCTCCTGGTCCAAGTATAAGTTTTGCATTAGCATGATCAAGCATTCTTGAAATCCCATTCTTCTCAGAGTCAGCCACAGTCAAACTCCTTTTCAGAGTCAATGAAACACAGATAGGCATTCCTATGGTACTCCCTGCTTTCATCTAAGATCCATCTAACATTAACTACAATATTCCTAGTACCATGACCCCTTCTAAACCCAGCCTGCACTTCTGGAAGTTCTCTGTTGGTGTGCTGTTTCAGTTGTTTTTGGATAATCTTCAGCAGAATCTTGCCTGCATGTAATAGCAATGCTTTTGTTCAGTAATTTCCACACTCTGCTGGATCTCCTTCTTTGGAATGGGATCAAATACAGATTTCATTCCAGTCAGTAGTCTAGGTGGTTGTCCTCCAGATTTCTTGACCCAAATTGGTAAGCACATTCAGGGAAGCATCTATTAGTTGAAATATGCCAATTGGTATACACCATCAATTCCTGGGGCCTTATTTTTTGCCAATTCCTTCATGGCAGCTTGGACTTCTTCCTTCATCACAGTAGGCTCTTCCTCATATGTTTTTTTCATTAAATTCTTCTGTGTCTGCCAATTCCTTTCAGTACAGGGACTCTGCATACTCTTTCCATCTTCTTTTAATACTTCCTGTATCATTTAATATTCATCCTTAAGTATAGCAACTCGAGGTGTGATTTTTGTTCTTCAGTTCCTTGAGCTTAAGAAATGCTGAAAGAGTTTGGCCCTTTTCATTTTCTGACTCCAGCTCCTTGTGGATTTCATTGCACTATTTTGCTTTGTCTCCCTGAGCTGCCTTTAGATTTTTTTAGTAGAAATATTTACATAACATTTAATATGTTGTTATGTGCCGTCGAGTTGCTTACGACTCTTAGTGACCCTATGTACAATAGCTCTAAACTCTGCTTTGTCCTGTGCCAATCTCATTGTCTATGACACACTCATCCTGATTGCCCCAGTCAATGAATTAATCCACCTCTCAGAGGGCCTTCCCCTCCTGTGCCCGCCCTCCACCCTCCCAAGCATGATGTCCTTCTCCAAGGACCAGTCCCTCCTTACAACATGACCAAAGTATGTCAGACAAAGTTTCAGAATCCTTGCCTCCATGGAGCAGCCCGGTTTAACCCACTCCAGGATGAATCTGTTTGTTTCCTTAGCAGTCCATGGTACCTTCAGCACTCTTCTCCAACACCAAAGCTCAAAAGCATCAGTTCTCTTTCTAACCTCCCTGGTAATCATTGTCCAACTCTCTGACGCATAACAAGTGATTGCAAAGACCATGGCCTGTACCAGATGCACCTTAGTCTCCAGAGACACATCATTGCTCTTCAGTACTTTAGAGAGGTCCCTAACAGCAGACTTTCACATCGCAATATGTCTTTTAATTTCCTGGCTGCTGGTGCCAAGAATGTTGACTGTGGAGCCAAGCAGACTAAAGCTGTGAACAATCTCAATCTCTTCACCATCCATCCTGATGCTGCCAATTGGTCCAGTGGTGAGAATCTTTGTCTTCTTGACATTGAGCCTCAATCCATATTGAAGGTTGCAGTCCCTGACCCTCAGCAGCAAGTGCTTCAGGTCCTCCTCAGTTTCAGCAAGCAGGGTTGTGTCATCTTCATATCGCAGATTGTTGATAGATCTTCCACAAATCCTTATGCCGCATTTCTCCTCATAGAGCCCAGCCTCCTGGATGATCTGTTCTGTATAGAGGTTGAAAAGGTATGGAGACAGGACACATCCCTGGTGTATGCCCTTCCCAATTTTGAACTATGCAATGTTTCCTTGCTCTGTTCTGATGACTGCCTCTTGGTTCATGTATAAGTATTGTATTAGCATGATAATTTTTCTGGGATTCCCATTCTTCTCAGAGTCAGCCACAGTTTGTTATGGTCCACACAGTCAAACGCCTTTGTATAATCAATGAAGCGCAGATAGACATTCCTCTGGTACTCCCTGCTTTCAGCCAAGATCCATTTAATATTAGCTACACTATCCCTAGTACCACGACCCCTTCTAAACCCAGTCTGGCCTTCTGGCAGTTCTCTGCTGATGTGCTGTTTCAGTAGTTTTTGGATAATCTTCAGTAGAATCTTGCTTGCATGTGAAATCAACGATATTGTTCTATAGTTTCCACACTCTGTTGGGTCACCTTTCTTTGGAATGGGAACAAATATAGATCTCTTCCAGTCAGTTGGCCAAGTGGTTGCTCTCCAGATTTCTTGACACAACTTGGTGAGCACGTCCAGTGCAGCATCTGTTAGTTGAAATATGTCAATTGGTATATCATTTATTCCTGGGGCCTTATTTTTTGCTATTTCTTTCAAAGCAGCTTGAACTTCTTCCTTCATCACCATTGGCTCTTGCTCATATGTTGTTTCATTAAATTTTTCTGTCTGCCAATTCCTTTTGATACAATGACTCAGTATATTCTTTCCATCTTCTTTTGATACTTCCTGGACTGTTTAATTATCTGCCTAAAGCATCCTTGATTATAGCAACTTGAGGTTTGAATTTGTTCTTCAGTTCCTTGAGCTTAAGAAATGCTGAACAAGTTTGGCCCTTTT